CCGCCAACTCCCTTTCTTTTGCCAGCTCCCAGGACTCTACGGAATCTGCGCCTGCGTCTAATCAGCCGCCCCACGTGTAACTGTCTCTACAACCGGCTGCACCAGCGGCTGCTGGCCAGCCCAGCTCGGCCTGGGATGCTGTGTGGGGGCGCCCAGCCTGGGGTGCAGGGGCCCTGTCAGGTCTGATGGGGAAGATGAGAAGGGAGCAGAAGGGGAGGAGGCCTAGCCCTGAGCTGGGTGCTTGATCCACAAGGAGGGTGGACCTGCTGCTGTTAAAGGGTGTCTGTCCATGGCTGGGGCTGAAGTGTCTATACTTGACTCCTTTTCCCGGCTCCAGGGAGATTCTGGGGGCCCCGTGCTGTGCCGTGAGCCTGATGGACATTGGGTTCAGGCTGGGATCATCAGCTTTGCATCAAGCTGTGCCCAAGAAGACACTCCTGTGCTGCTGACCAACATGGCTGCTCACAGCTCCTGGCTGCAGGCTCGAGCTCAGGGGGCAGCCTTCCTGTCCCAGAACCCAGAGACCCCAGAGATCAGTGATGAGGACAGCTGTGTAGGTATGAGCAGGGGATGTTAGGAGTGGGACGTGTTCTGGGCAGCAGACAGAAGCACAGTGAAGCAAGTTTCAGCTCAGAACAGAGAATTGGTACAGGGCAGTCACACATTGCTGGGGGCTAACTAGGGGGGCATTTAAGGCCCCTTTCAGCCTCTAAGATGGGAACCATTCCATTTAAGGGCTGAAGGGGCACAGATACTTCAGAACTTCGTGCATTTAAAAAAATTTTTTTAATGTTTATTTATTTTTGAGTGAGACACAAGAGTGTGAGTGGGAGAGAGTCAGAGAGAGAGGGAGACACAGAATCCGAAACAGGCTCCAGGCTCCAAGCTATCAACACAGAGCCTGATGCGGGGCTTGAACTCACGAACGGTGAGATCATACCTGAGCTGAAGTCAGATGCTTAACCGACCGAACCACCCCGGCACCCCTAGAACTTTGTGTATTTAGAGTTTAGGTATGAAGAGGGATCTCTGAGATCTGATTGAAGGTTGTGGGGGTAAGCTGCAAGTTTCCAAGCAGGGACCCAGTGAGAATGGACAGGGCAGGCTTCCGCTCAGGATTCTGGCATTAAGTAACTAACATGTAAATTGCATGCAAAATTTTTCCTGGAACGAAGTTGTATCTTGATGGTTAAGAGAAGTACTAGTGAGCCAGGAATTCTGGGGCCAGTCCAAGCCCGGAGGGGCACAGACAGAGAATAATGAGCAGGGCCACTCCCATGAGGCTAGACCATCAGGGTTTAAAAGCTTAGGCCCTCCCTGGTTTTTGAGACTTAAGTCGGCTACCTGCCTGTGGTTACTGAGCTAGAAAGTCACTTAACCTTTCTGGAACTTTGGTTACTTTGGTAATGAGGGTAACAAAATCCAACTTAAGAGGATATTGTGAGGATTTGATAGTACGTGGGAAGCGCTTAGCACAGGGTCAGGCATGCGGTGAGCACTTAGCAAGAAGGCAGATGATGTAATCTGTCTGTTCCAGCCTGTGGATCCTTGAGGAGAGGAGGTCCCCAGGCAGGAGCCCCCTCCCCATGGCCCTGGGATGCCAGGCTGAAGTACCAGGGGAAGCTGGCCTGTGGTGGAGCCCTGGTGTCAGAGGAGGTAGTGCTGACTGCTGCCCACTGCTTCATTGGGTGAGCTATGTCTCTCTTGCCTTCATGCCCATGCCTTCGCTGGCAGGCCTGCCACTTGATGCTGTCAATGATGCCTCTCTGCACAGGCGCCAGACCCCAGAGGAATGGAGCATAGGGCTGGGGACCGGACCAGAGGAACGGGGCCTGAAGCAGCTCATCCTACATGGGGCTTATACCCACCCAGAGGGGGGCTATGATGTGGCACTCCTGCTGCTGGCCCAACCTGTGACACTGGGCCCCAGCCTTCGGCCCCTCTGCCTGCCATATGCCGACCACCACCTGCCTGATGGGGAACATGGCTGGGTCCTGGGGCTGCCCCGCCAAGAAGCAGGTATGTAGGACAGGCCCATCAGCAGCTGTCCATCCATCCTAGAGGCTGTTGGGGCAGCTGGGTCTTTTCCCTTGCCCTATAGGTGCCAGCTCCCCTCAGACAGTGCCTGTGACCCTCTTGGGACCCAGGGCCTGCAGCCGGCTGCATACAGCTCTTGGGAGCGACAGTATCCCCATTCTGCCAGGAATGGTGTGTACCAGTGTTGTGGGTGAGCCGCCCCACTGTGAGGTGAGCCCCCCACCGTGAGGTGAGCCCCAGTCCTCCAAACCTTACTCCACAGACCCCTGGCATCTTTATCCTGTAACTCACAGACCTGCCAGGCTTGGCCTCCAGACCCGCCTCGCACTTGAAATTGGGCCTTTCTGCCAACTGGCTCCCAAAGAGCCAGAGCCTCATCCCAGCCCCAAGCCCCTTCTGCCCCCACAGCTGCCTAGGGAAAAGAGGAAGTCACCCAGGGTCACCTGACTCCTGACAGGGCCTGTCCGGGGCACCACTGGTGCACGAGGTGAGGGGCACATGGTTCCTGGCTGGGCTACACAGCTTTGGAGATGCCTGCCAAGGCCCTGCAAGGCCTGCAGTCTTCGCGGCACTTCCCACCTATGAGAACTGGGTCAGCAGTTTGGACTGGCAGGTCTATTTTGCTGAGGAGCCAGAGCCCGAGGCAGAGACTGGAAGCTGCTTGGCTAACATGAGTACGTGGCCCTGGGGCCTCCCTGCTAACACTTCCCTCTCCAGACCCATTCTCTCTCAATCCAGGGAAAGATCTGTTCTGACCCAACCTCTTGCTGCCCTGGGTGGGGTAGTGGACATAATTCTGGTTCCTCATCATTGTGACTTGGAGCAGGCCTCAACTTCTTCAAACCTCAGTTTTCTCATCTGTCATAGGGGTTAAAGTAGCACCTTCTTCCTCTTCCTTCCAGGGAGGGAAGAAAAGTTTTGAGGATGAGGCCAACCCCACCCTTCTTCCTCTTCCTGACAGGCAAACCAGCTGGCTGTTGACAGGTGGCTCTGGGATGCTGCAGACGCAGTGAGACAATTCCTGCATCACTGCCCCTGTACCTCCCCCATTCCCTCCACCCACGCATGATTCCAGGCACTGGGGCAGGCCCAGCAGCCCCGTGGGCTCTGGGAAGGAGCACGCCTGGACCAGCAACTGCCCTTACTCCCCACCCTGCAGGCCAGGGAGATGTCGCCTGTGGATGCTTCCCTACACCCAGCTCCGCCGTCCGATGCAGGCGTCCCCAGCCTTCCCTAGTCTTCCTCCCCTCAGATATGATCACACCAGCCGCTTACTTACTTTGAAATTTTCTTTTTTGGGGGGGGAGCAATTTTCCTTTTTTTTAAACTTAAATAAATTGTTACAAAATAGACTTTAGAAAATAAGTTACAAATTGTAGCAAAAGGCCCCCCTTCCATAGGCAACATTCCCACCTGTGGCTCTCTGAATCCACCTCTCCCTCTTGTTGGAATCTGGCTGGTGACAGCGGCCCCACATTGTGGCAGAGTCTGGCACCGGGTTTCTTGCAGGGCTGGTCATAGGGAAGAGCATA